CCATATATGTCGAAATTTCAAACTTTGTAGAAAAATTAAGAAAATTCGATAAAATTTTACTACAAACTTTTTACTAAGAATTTTGAGATAATTCTAGTTTGCAGTTTTATACCCAATTAAATTATAGCTAAGAAAGTAAAAGTCTAATTTGGCTAAGAATTCGCGTTGATTTTTGATAACTTTTTTTTGGGGGATGGTGTTATTATTATGGGTAAACCCGTCAGCAAAAAAAAAATATGAAAAATCAACGCGAATTCTTAACCGATTGAAATTTGAATCTGCTATCTTTACAAATTCGTAATAAAAAGTTTGTTGTTGTAAAATTTTTTTCTGCTTTTCTACAAAGTTTGAAATTTGTACTTATATGGTTTTTGTTAGATAATGGGCTATACTTTTATAAAAAAAAATAAAAATTTAACCAACAAAAGAAATATAGCCAAAACTGGTCCTAATTGTTTTTAACATGACTATATCGAGCTCTAACCGTATAGATACCTCCGGCTAAGACTACTAGATTGAGACAAAACTTGCGCTGAATCGTTTAAAATAAAGTCTTCGTGAAAAAGTGTTTTCTTGTAATTTCTCGGTAGAGTATTTCCTTCTGCAAACATTTTTTTCGCATTTTTTCAACTGTTTTTAATAGTAGTTTTTATGTTAGAACATTTTTAGTTTTTCAAACAAAAACAAAAGTGTGCGTTTTTATATCATTGAACTGACATGTGATTTTGTTTTAATTAATTATACTTGTTAGCCATTATAAAAGACTGAAACCTAGATTTATAAAATATAATAATCTATTACATGACTATATTCCTGGAATAAAGTGTGATTTATTGAAAAAGTGACCTTTTAACACAAGTTTTTTTTTTAATTTTTCCCAAAAATGTACATACTTTTATTTCTATAAATTCCCAATGTATTTTTGAGTTAAGTTTTTAACTACATTAATTTCATTAAAAAAAAAAATGTACTAACTTGGAGTTTTATTATTTTTCGGCTATATTTGTTTGCCATGAAAAATTTTTTGTTTTTTATAATAAAGGAAACTAGTAATAATCTCCGAAATTCGGCGTGGTCTAAAAAGCTGCATATTTCTTTATTCTAAAAACCACATGCATTGGTATTTAACTTTAACTTTGGTATTTTGGCAAGATCATGCTATACTCAGTACATATACATAGCTGGCCATGCGTAAAGCAATGCCCTTGTTAGGGTCTGACCTTACATATTTATTGTTATTGCGAACGCTACAATAGTTTTGAATTGGCGGCATTTAAATATATAGGGAAATGTCGATTCGCTGGGCTGTAAATTTATATGGGGTAGTAAAATTCATTTCCCTTGTGAATC